TAGCAGTTTGAAAGCATGCAAATGCACGTAGATAAATAGGTACCATTTCTCAGCGGGAAGGTAAACAGCGTTCTGTGCAATCATGTTGGCCACATGATCACAGAGTAGTCTCTGACAGCTCTGGCTCTTTGGCTTAATAATGTAGATGAGCACTGCCCCCTATGGTCAGACATGATTTGACAACCTTGTCAATGGGGAATACCTTTACCTTTACCACTAGCTGCCTAAAAGCCAAAATGAGCAAACAGAGACTATCATACTTTGGTCATATAATGAGATGGTGTGGGTCATTAGAAAAGATAATATGGCTTGGTAAGATAGGAGGTAAGAAAAGAGGAAGGATACATTCTAGATGGATAGACTCAATTAAGGAAGCCACAGGCCTGAATCCGCAAGACCTGAGCAGGGCTGGTGATGACAGAGTGACTTGGAGGTCTCTCATCTGTAGGGTCATCCTAAGATAAAGCCAATGATGATGGCAATTAATAACTACAAATCTCTTTCTGGCCTGTATTATGTTTACCCTTAATTCCACCTGCTCCATTTCCTTAATAATTTGAATTCTTCAGAAATGGTTTCAAAAATGTGTATTTCACTATACATTTTCCATTTCAAATTATGTATACAAATACATCCCCCCCCCTCTCAGAATTGCATATTTAACCCTTGTCCAGATGGACAGGACAGTTTTTGTTCTTCCATAGTCACACTATCTTGCAGAATTCCTACAAAACTAGACCTACAAGGTAAGCATTTTATGACACTGTCACCTGAAGAGTTGTAAACAATGTCTCCAGTTTCATCTCCCTTTGAAATTCAAGGTTTTATTTTCTTTACAGACCCAAAAAAGGCTGTGACACAAGGAGGGCAGTCAGCCATTCAAAGTACAAATTATATGTGTCTTCTGGCTGTAAGTTGGGGTATTGTGGAATACTCTTCACTCTGAACCTACAAACACTGATGTGGACACAGGACATTTTTATATGATTTGAGCTCTGCCACACTGCAGAATTAATGCAGGTTTTAACTGTCATGGCTCCATCTTATTTGTATGCTTGTTGTGGCACCAGAGTTCTCTGACAGAGAAGACTAAATAAGTCACAAATCTACAAATCCCAGAATTCCACAGCATTGAGCCATGGCAGTTAAAGTGGTATCAGCCTGGATTATTTCTGCAGTGTAGATGCAGCCCTAAAAACATTACACGTGTCATTGTTCTTGTTGTGTGCCTTCAAGTCATTTCAGATTTATGGATGATTCTGGAGACCAGGATTTGATTCCCAGCATGGCCATGAAATCCACTAGTTGACCTTGTCAAATCACATGCTCTCACCCTCAGGGAAAGGCAATGGCAAACCTCTTCTGAACAAATCTTGCCAAGAAAATCCATGGGGTCACCATATGTTGAAAATGACTTGAAGGATTACAACAAAAACAGCAAGGTGAAACTGTCATGGGAATTTGGGGGGTGGAAAGTGTGTGACATGTCCAAGGTCACCCAGTAGGTTTCCAAGGCCGAGCAGGGATTCAAACCCCAGTCTTCAGAAGTCCAAAGTTCAAACCACTATACCACACAGGCTTTCAGACTTCTCACTACTGTCAGAAAATAGCCCCCCCATTAAAGCATCCAATGAAAGATGTTTTTGTTTTTGTGTTTTCCAACTGGCCAGGCTAAGGGTTAACTCATAATGTGATGAGCTTAAACTGGGGTGGGCAGAAGGTAGATCTGTAATAAATCACCAAGGATTTCTAACTCCCAACTGTCTAACAAAAGCAACAAGTAAAAAGCTTCCCTAACTCCAAAGTAGACTGCTGAAAAAGAAAAATAGGTGAAAATCAGAAGTAGATTTGTGAGTGAAAGGACTATTGAGCTTGATTTTAGTACTGAAAATAAATTTGTTATCTCAGCTCTGTAACCAGAGGCACCCTGTGTGCTCTTAGTATCCGTCTATCAATCTGAACCACTCTTCAGGACCTTTAGGATTCCATTATCAAAACAAAAGTGAACCCTGCAAGCCCGAAGTCTGACCTTCTCTGATTTAAACTGCCACAAATATAAGTTTAAAGAAATGCAAAATCTGTTGGATAGCTAAGTTATGATCCACACATCAGACTGAGAGGTGATGAGCGGGACATTTTCTATAGAAATCAACAAGGATGAATCCCTCATGAATTACTGTTTTCAGTAGCTGCCTGCTTCCTCTTCATGAAATTCCCATATACATGCCTGCCTGAGACCCTTAATTGGCTAACATCAGCCTCTCCCACTCCTGTGGCATCCAGGTATGTGAGAGTAGAGGCTTGAATGTCAATCGGAGATGATAGGAGATGCAGTCCAACTTTTGTTGTTCTTGTGTGCCTTCAAGTCATTTCCGAACTTAAGGCCACCTTAAGGCAAACCTATCATGGGGTTTTCTTGGCAAGATTTGTTCAGAGAAAGTTTGCCATTGTCTTTCCATGAGGCTGGGAATATGTCACTTGCTCAAGGTCACCCAGTGGGTTTTGTGGCCAAGCTGGGAATTGAACCCTGGTCTCCAGAGTCATAGTCCAACACTCAAAGAACTACTACCTCTCTTTTAATTATGAATGTAAATAATAATAATAATAATCTGGTTAGCATTTGAGAAGGGCAAGAACACTAGTTTTTAATTACTATGATTTCCTTCTGTGTTGTGCTGTTCTGAACCTGCTCTTAATATTTTCAGGTTAAATAAATTAAAACCGCCATTTTGGCAGAGATCCTGTCCCCAATGCCTCAAGCTCTGTAGCAACATTCCCAGCTGTGCTCTGGTGCCTGCTGTTCCTGGATCAGCCTCTAAAGCCAGCCCATATTACACCAAGTGTGAATGGGGAACTCCTTGAGTATGGTGATCCTGGATAGCTCCTCACTCAAGCATGGAAAAAATACAACTGCTTGCATAACCAGGAGTTAAGCCAATACGATGCCTCACAGTTTATGATTCTGGTCTATGTTTTTCTGAATATGTGTGTGTAATTTAATAAAAGTATTGAAAACAGGTGTTAAAGCATCAGACATTTTGGCTTCTCTGCCTTCCAACCTAATACCACAAAGACACCCCTTTGATCCAGACCTGCTTGAGAAAAGAGAAATCTTCTGAATCGACAGACTTGACACTTTGACACCATATGTCCTTAATTTGAATGAGAATACCACTCCTGCCCCTAACATCATCCTCTGAATTCTGTCCTTAAATGTTGGGAATTCTACAACTGCCAAATCTTTATAAGCATGGCAATGGATAATACTGAGGGTGCATCTGTGTTAGAAATAATGCAGTTTGACACCATTTTATGTGCTGCATCCTATGCAGTCCTGGGGTTTGTAGTTTTACAAGGTCTTTAAGCCATCTCTGCCCAAGAGTGCTGGTGCCTCACAAAACTACAAATCCCAGGATTCTATAGGATGGCGCCATGGCAGTTAAAATGCTGTCATTTCTACAGTGTAGATGCACCCTAAGAATGGTGGAAATGCAAACATTGGGTGCTTTTTATAAATTAATTCAAATTAATTGAATTAAATTATATTAAATCCACCTCAGTTTATAGTATCCTGGGATCCAATGTGAAAACAGTGTTCTTAGTTACAATACATGTTTAGTTTTTATCTGCCTTGAGGACACTGTGCATCATGTGACCATATCTTTTAAAATGAATGGATGGTTGGGAGAATAAATGAATGAATAATGCATGCATGCATGAACAAGTGAATGGAAGATAAAATAAAGAGAGAGAGCAAGGGAGGGTTAGGGGATGGAAACAATGGGATTCACACTCCCAGCAATTTTTTATCAGCCGTTCTATCCATTGCAAAGAAGCAGAAAACACAGAAGCACCCCACCACCACACACAGATATCAAGAGACACTCTGAAATATGGGCAGGCCAGGCTGTATTTATCAATAAATTTTGTCATCTAGGAAAACAAATTGCAGCCTCCCCTATTCCAACAACAGTACCTGATGGGAGTGATAGTTGAATCTTATTGAAATAGTGGTGAAGGCCAGCTTCCTCTACTACACCTGAGAGCAGACAACTAGCTAGAGTAGTAGATGCAAACCAGGCTGTTTGATCAAGTTACAAGAAAAGATAAACCCCAGAACCCACCTCAAATATACTAGAAACCAACAACAAAACTAGGGCTAAAGAAGTATAGCTATGTATGGATCTTAATAGAGGAAATAAATGAAGTGAAATAAAATTAATATTGTTGTTGGCTTCTAGGCTGCTTGAAGCCAATACTTTTTTGTCTTCCAACCAGGACGAATGTCTGAAGGAACTGCCGACAATACTCTTTCCATAGCACCCAGCATCTGGTGCCAGAGGTAAATGCTGTACTCTGCCTAATGGTAGGCCCAGTCCCGATTGTGGAAATGCAGAAAGAGCAGGAGAGGTAGTCAGTTATTGCAACTAGTGTAATAGACTGGTCAAAAATATGGCCAGTATGGAAATGTATTACGGATTTCTTCTCTAGTCACCACTGAAGCCAAAATCAGCAATGTGAAAGCCCCACACTTCCCCCATAGATTGTTTTCCCCCATGCTCAGTCCCTTTTGACAAATGAGGAATAATCCAAACATTAATGGTTGACACAAGAAAGTAGTTCCATAGTTGTACTTATGCCTCATTCCAGGCCAAGGCCATGAAGTTGCACAGTGAAGAGCAACAGTTGGAATACCCTCTGGAATACCCCTTGAACTCAGCTCTTCTGCCCACCTCTGGGACTCTGAACGACAGTCAACAGTTCCCAGCATATGCCACGTGTCTGAAATATGAGATAAGGCCACCACCCCAACCAACAACATCTAAGAAAGGGGTGGGAAGAATCTTCTGGCTGTCACTAGACACCAGCAGATCCAGCCATCATGACGAATGATGAGAGACAATGAGAATTATAGTTCAATAACATATGGAGTGCCAGTTGTTTGAACTTTTCCCATCATCATCATCATCTACTAGGATTCAACAAACCCCATTCCCCACTACCAGACTTATGTCTACAAAAAATTGGGTGGGTGGGAACAGTTATGGAATATAACTTTTAGAATCTTTTAGAATGAAGAATAAAATATTAAGACCAGTTGTTCATTTATTACTTTCAAAAACTATGTAGCAGGTACACATTTAAATAAGACTATTTTTGCATCACTGTAATTCCTGGCCTGTGTTTACTTTTCTTGGTTCTTTTTATGGGAATGTGTCAGATCAGCACTGTGGAAGACTAGAAGGGACAATCTTTTACTAATGTTGGAAGTTCCAAGGTATCTCCTGTTTGTAAATGGAGATGGATGGGCTTCCAATTCCTCTTGCAGTGGTGAGATGCTCCTTACAATTCAGGACACCGTACCTCCATTTGTAACCAAATCCATCAGTCAATAAATAAACATTCCATTTGTAATGATTTTCTGAGAAATATGTATTTTTAATATACCAAACGTAATACTTTCCCCCCTCCAAGTCACGTTATGCATAATGAATTTACATTCGTAAATTAACAAAATGACTTCCAAGCTATAGTGGGGGAGGGGGAATACTGCATTTCCCCAGGTTTTTTTAAACTGTCTTTTCCCCCAAAGAAAGCCAGGGAAAATATTTTTCTGCATGACTCCAACATTTCAACAAAAATCACATCTCTATCCCCGCCCCACTGTTACTCCAGTACTCCTCTCTCCAAACCCTTTTTCATAGACCTTGAACATGGGGAGTTTGCCTAGAGATGCACTCCCTAACTACATCTCATACTTTTCCTTTACTTTTGGGGCGTTGTTTTTGGTGAAAGGGGCCTCCACAGGGCACAATGTGTGTACCACCTACCAGCATTTCCCCCAAAATGTAACATGAGCTTTCCTGAACAGAAAACAGCTAAAGCCCTCTGTTTGGGAACCAGTTACACAGACAGCTGTTGCCATGTCAGCCCCAGAGAATCAGAAATACCAAACAGGAAAGGCAATCTCTCGTTGGTGTAGGGGTATTTAATTTTCATTTGTTTCAGCTCAGCCCACCCTGATACTGGAGACTCAGGGCAGAGGCCAACAATGGATTTAATGAGTAGTCAAAACAGAACTTAAACCAACAATCAACCACCAAAATAACATCCTGCTGGTCTGTAATCACACACATGCACACTTGCCAATTTTTTTTTTTAAGTTTGTATTTCTGCACAGCTATGAATATCTAGCTTTGACAGGGAATTCCAAAGCAAGGGAGCAAAGCCAGAGAATGCTTTGCTATGTGCCCTCAGGACAGAGGATATCACCAAAAAGCCTCTCTTAGCCATGGAAATTGTCATGGGACAGAAGCAAGGAAAAGTGTGTGTGTGTGTGTGTGTGTGTGCCTTCTGCTCGCCTGTTGACTCATGGTGAACCTATGAATTTCATAGGGTTTTCTTAAGCAAGGAATCCTCAGAGGCCATTTTGTCAGTTCCCGCCACTGAAATATAGCCCCAGCACCTGGTATTCATTGGCATCCTCCCATTTAAGTATTAACCAGGGCTGACTCTGCTTAGCTTTAGATGAGATGGGCTCTAGTGCCTTTAGAGTATTAGGAAAAGAAATTCCAGATAATCCTTGTGTCTTCCAGTTATGAATCCTAATCCCAGGAGACAGGACATTTAAATACTCCAGAGTCACGTTTTGTTGCAGCATTCACACAAACTTAGAAGGTGGATAATTTACAACATCACCCCCCACAAGAGTTTTTAATCATGTCCCCACTTTTCAGTCAATTCTTATGTATAGTTTTTTTTTAATAGACAGAAAACAACTGGTACAAAAGTATCTAATCAAATTACTGAATTGTTTTCTACTGTGGTATCTTTTGGTTCTGAGAACCAGCATGGCATAGTGATTAGAGTGCTGGACTATGACTCTGGAGACCTGGGTTCAATTACCCAATTGGCCATGCAACACACCAGGTGAACTTGTGCAAGTCACATGCTCTCAAACTCAGGAATTGTCAGGAACGGGCAATGACAAACCTCATCTGTACAAAACATTCCAAGAAAACTCCATAATAGGTTTACTTTAGGGTAATTGCCATGTCGGAAACAGCCTGAAGGCACACAACACACACATATATCTTTCACAAAATGAATGGGGTTGGGGGGGTGTCTCTGATGGCCATTTGTGATTGATACCATGATGCAGAGAAACTGGTGAGAGAAACAACCTCTCCCCCATAGGGATGTAATTCCTCACTAATTTTCTTCTAAAAATAAAATAAATCAGTAATTCTAGCAATTTTCTTCCTTGTACAAGAAAGTCTTCAAAAACCACAGTATTTGGAAACCTACTATTAGACTCCAACCCACAGACTCCAACCATACATGGAGAGATAAATCCCAG